ATCAGTGACTAATGTAAAACGTGACCTCACCAACGCTGCCTTCACCCTCTCATTCAGATGAAAACTTAGCTGGTTTTTTTTCTGTTGTAAGTCATTTACAAAAGCTGGATCATTTCTTCTTAGTATTTCTGTCTCTATAGACTCAATATCTCTTTCCAGGGCTTTAATAGTTTCTCTTTGAGTGGTAGTGCAATATGCAGTGTACTGTTGACAGCAAAGTTTTATTTGAGTTTTACCAACCTCCCACCATTGTTTTAAATTTTCAAAATCATTTTTTTTCTCTTTCCAATAGTTCCAGAATGCCACAAAATGTTCAGAAAATAAAGCATCCTGCAACAATTTAGCATTAAAATGCCAATAAGATGATTTTCTTGGAAACTGAAAACCATGTTTACTGAAATAAAAACCAGATGGTGATCAGAAAAACCTATAGGAGAAATACAACAATCCACAACCCTGTTATTAAAATTTTTTGAAACATAGATTCTATCTAAACGAGCAGCACTTACTCTATTGTCCAAAATTTTAACCCATGTATATTGTTTGTCAAATGGATGCTTGATTCTCCACGTATCTAAAAGTTCAGCCTCTTTCACCAATCCTGACAAATAGCTGGAGGAAAGCATATGAGGTTCTACATTGTTACGGTCATCGTTAAAACACTCTGTACAATTCCAATCTCCACCAATAATGACGTCTCCATCACTAAAATCTTGTCTTAAGACATTAGTTAATACACTAAAAAACTGTAGCCGCTCATGTCCCACATTTGGTGCATAAACATTTATAAAATAAATTGTCATCCCTTCAATAATAGTTTTAACAAGGACAAGACGACCTTTTACAAATTCTTCTGTTTTTTCAATACTAACTTTTTTTTCTGGAGAAAAAAGGAGAGCAATTCCCGCACTCAGATTTGTACCGTGACTAAGTATATGCTGACCTTTCCACCACATCCCCCACTCTATTTCATTCTCAATATCACTATGGGTTTCCTGCAATAAAATGACTAGGTGTGTTGCTCCCACAGCTAAGTAAATTATTGCTAGCTGTTCCAGCTTTGGAACATGCTGCAGGTCGAGCCCCCATTCTCGATTGAGAACTGGGTGTGTTGCTCCCTCAGCTATAAAATCCTTGATATTGACTTGTTTCCCAAACGTCTCATCAAGAAACCCATTAATTTCCTCTAAAGTATACATAGAGGGATCTTTAATGGTTATATCCTGAGAATCACTTTCAGGTCCACAAACAGAAGAACCTCCTTGTGAATCACATTCATAATCAAATATAGAACCATTTTCGTCGGATACAACATCATCCATTGCACTACCATCATTGCTTAGACACAGCTCTCTCTTTCTTGAACCCAAACAAACAGGCTCCTCACATCTTGAACTGGGCCCTGCAACTACCAAAATATTATCTTGCTGCTCATCTGCATTTATATTTTGTACAGTTACAGTATTTGCAGTATTTTCATTTTGCTGACGTTCATTTACATTAGTTTCTATATCATTGACATTGACAACATGCTCATTTGCTTCCATAGCGGACGGCGCCGCAACAGAATCGCTTACCTCTGATGAACCTGCTTGCTCCTCTCGAGTAATGTGCTCCACCAGCACTTCTCCTGAGACAGCAGGCCTATTCCCTGGCTCACGCTCTCGATTATGTGGGCATGCGAACTTTTTATGGCCTAAATCGCCGCAATCGAAGCACCTTAAACTACCAGTTGTTGCATACACCATATAGGTTCTCCCTTCATGTCGTACTCGAAATGAAACATCTAGCCTATTTTCTGCGGATTCTAGAAACATAAAGCCTGTCTTCTAAAAGACTTAACGTGCCTCAAAGACGGATGTTTACAGCCTAGCATAATTGTTTTGAAACCACTAGCAACTTTCGCTCCAACGCGTCATCAGGAATGAAGGGTGGAACATTCGATTAACGGGGTAACTTGAACAAAGTTGTCATTTATAACAAGACCGTTCTCGATTAGTTGGTTAACAAGATTTTGTTCTTTCAAGAACACTACTACAGCTCTGTTCATGCGAGAAGCGGACACAATATTCTCATGTCCTACTTCCCCGCCAGTCGAGATGAGCACATTCTCCACTGTGACGCCATCCCTCCCTGCACTATATCTACAGCAAAATCAACCAAAGGTAAATCAACCTTAAACCATGCAACAACAAAAAAAGAAAGGGAAAAAAAGAGAGAGAGAGAGAGAGAGAGTCTGGGAGGTAAACCGCATTTCAATCAAAGCAGTCTGACAGACAGACACCACTCCTCTTTGACAATTACAGTATTTTTAGTCTCGCAGGACTCGGGTCAGAATCGCCAACCACAATCAACTCAAGTGCAAGGTGCAGCAGCGAAGCCATAACAATGACTTTAGCCAAGATTTTTCTTTTTTTTTTAATTCAAAGATCAAATTGCTCAGAAAAGTAATAGCACTGATTTGCAACGTCATCAATTTCCTCAACACAAATTAATATTTGAGCAATAGTATGCCTTAGCAAGCACTAAATACTAATAATCACATTTTTTTTTCTAATTGGAAGTATAATTTCCAGAGAAATCATTGGTGCAAAAGCACACTTACTTTTAAAGGGGTCATCGGATGCAAAATTCGGCTCACTATGAACAGAGCTTTTTCGACAAGGTAAAAAGGGTGTTGTTTTACACTACCATTGAGAAATTTTAACCATAGCATGTTACAGACTTTTAATTAAGACTCTAAAGAATCATATCAACTTGTGGAAAATGGGCATCCGATGACCCCTTTAAAAAGAGTACTTAATATACAAATAATTTACTGTTAATGTCAGGGTCCTGTCACTTCAGTCTTGTTTATTCTTCATTTGGTGAAGGAGCTCTGACACTCCTATCGTCTTGTGCTTTTGTGAGTATGCAGCTTTGAGTTGGCTTGGGCCCAGGGTTGCCAGGTCTTCACAAACAAAACAAAAAAACAAAAAAACAGCCTAATTGTTATTAAAAACTAGGCCAAAACTAGCCCAATTGCATTTTTCCATGGTTTTCCCCTCTGTCAGAATTGTGTTCTGGGGGGTCGGTAAAACCTGTGGCAAAAATGTTTTCTTTCATTTATACTATCTGCAAGTAGTTTTTTAAAAATACACTTTTAAGATCGGAAATGTACGACAAGTGCACATTAAGGGGCCGTTCACACAGAACTCGTCTAAAAACGCGAGGCGCAGCACTCAGAAATGTTTTTTTTTTAAAAGTGCAGTGCAGGACGCAGGGTAGAGGTCTGCGCGGGACTACTTTTTTAGTCCCGCTCCCGCAAGGTTATATTCCGCACCCACCCACTCCCGCTATATATTCACTCTTTGTTCACCCGCTGTCTGCTTAGAATCATTTTCTTCCCGACCCGACCGTTCCCACTAAATTTAGATCTCGTTTCCAGAATCTCACATTTAAATTTCCGCTACTGAAAGAAAGAGAGATGGGCTAACAAATAAAAGTGTAGTCTGCACAAAATTGTATGTTATTTTATTGGTCTTGTCAAGAGTCTTGAATTTATTGACTTTGACTTGAATTTATATGAATTATCTTAAGACACAAAATTCGTTTAATATTTTATGCAACACAGCTGGAAAAAAAAGTGTCAGAGAAAATAAAAATGTTGTACAAAAATTTTATTTCTTATTTTTATTTGTCTTGTCAGGATGCAATTAGTTTAACATTTACAACACAATAGGGAAAAAGTGTGGCAGAGAGAAAAAAAATAAAAATGTAGGTTGTACAAAAATTAGCTATTAGCTATTTTTATTTGTCTTGTCAAAATACTAAATTCGTTTGACATTTTTTTTGTTAACACCGTAGGAAAAGTGTCACAGAGAAAGATAAATAAATACGACATCTGTCATTTAAAATTATAGGCTAAGCAAAATATAAACAAAACCGAGTTGAGTTACTGACCGCTACTACGTTTTATTCGGGAATTTAATCCCGCAGCGCAAAAAATCTGGTCGGGTCCCGCTGTTCCTGTGGGAGAGCCGCGGGAATGCAGACCTCTAACGCAGGGGTCTCGAGACGCACTTTTGAGATGCCATAACGGAAATAACATAAAATAGCCAAACAGTTGAATACATAGAGAATATCAGGCTCTTTTTTTAAAGACACAGGTTGTGATAATCACTTGAAAAAATGTTATATCCGGAGTCGGACACAGCCAATATGAATGCTATTTCTGCTATGTTGCTGTCACATAAAACAGTTGCAATGCCAACTTGCTACTATAAACAAAAGCTCTCAATGCTGGCCCCGCCTTCAGGGACTTCTGATTGGTCCACTGTTTTGGAACTGTCATTGATGGGCGGCGCTGCGTGTAAAAGTTGAAATTCTTTCAACTTGACATGGCATCTCAAAAACATGTTGCTCATGTGTGAGATGCTGCAAAAGACACTAGCGCAACGGTCATACACATCCGGCTAATGCGGATGGAAAGCTATGGAAAAGTAGCACTTCGGAATGGAAAAACGCATTCTGTGTGAACACCCCCTAAGCTCACTTCTTTCTCACACAGGATTCTTTCTCACACAGGAGTGTGTTTTAACCACACATAAACACATTCCGTTCAGATGAATGTCTGGCTTTGGAGCTTCTAGATTATTGAAGGGTGTAGTTGCAGTATCTAGTGTTTTGGTTACAAAACCTGCAATAACCATTCAGGCGGCCAACACCACTTGATATTGAACACAAAAAAAAGTGAAAGAAAGAAAGAAAGATATGGTGTTATTTACAGTGTAATTCCGTGAAGCTGAATGGAAATGGATCCCAGCAGCGCAGAAACTTTGCTTCCAGTAACACAGAAGAGAGGCTCTGTATTCCCATAAGTGCTTGTGTTAGATTGACAGAGACACAACACATCAATAGTCTGGCACAGCAACAGTCATGAGAGGCAAACGCATGTCATGAGTGTGTGAGGCCTGTGAGAGTCTGAACATATAGTGAAACAGCAACTTAGCAATACTCACTTGTTTAATGTGAGGTCCAGAATGAATTGTGATCCAAAGGCCTGAAGTTGAAATGAAGCCTGAGCGAGATGGACCTCCTATTGAAGGAAGGAAAAAAAGTCAAGATTTAGTGTCAGACCAGATGCTAGAATGACCGACCGTCACTGTTTACAGATCAATTCCCTCGAGCTGTCATCGGAAATGTGCCTATTTTTACTGTGCGCTCAAAACAATGTGAAGCAATTCCACAGCAATGTCTGCCTAATGTTCATAGTATCATAGTCATGGCATTTGCAGCTGCAGTAATCACAAACATATCTTCTTATCACAATAAGGCACGGGACTGGCTGAAACGTGGCTGACACAGTCAGATTTTGTATGTCTGTTTTCATCTCAAATGGTACATAATGGGAAGTTGCTTTGAATTTATCTTTTGGTTTGTTTCCATTAAGTTAATAAATAAAAGAGAGGTCACAGGATGAATTATCTTTCATTTGCTGTATTTAAATTATTTAAATCATTTAAAGTATCAAAACAAAAATAAATCAATCAATAAATAAATAGGTTTTATCAAATGGTGCTGTAAAATGTTTGGGTTGAATTTCTAGCCTCATTAATAAAATAATTATCATAAAATTAAGAGTGTGCCTTCATTTTTAGACACACTCCTAATTTTTAAAGACTTTGAAATGTACATCTTAGGAGTTTGGTCACGACAGACAGCGCTGACTGGGAGATCAATCATGTCGTTGTCATTCATTAAAATCATCATATCATGAATACATGAAGAAGGCTATTTTTGTTTCTTAAAGGAATAGTTCACCCAAAAATGTATTATTTCTATGAAATCACTATAATCCAAAAGTAATCCACACAACACCAGTCCATCAATTAACATCCTGTGACGTAAAAAGCTTTGTGCTTCTAATGAACAAATCTATCATTAAGACGTTTTAACTTTAAGTCGCCGCTTCTGGCCACAATACGAGTCCATAATTCATAATAACACTTCCTCCAGTGAAAAACTTCATCCATGTTGTCCTCTCACATTAAAATCCACCTGAATATTAGTATACGTAGAGCTGTTTTAGACTGTTTTTGCTTGTAAACAGTGCTTGATCTGTGCATATTTCTCTCCTAATTCAGACTGGAGAAAACAACGTTTTTATACATGGACTCGAAATGCAGTTAAAAGCATCTTAATGATGGATTTGTTTCTTACAAACACGCAGCTTTTCACTTCACAAGATGTTAACTGATGGACTGGAGTGGTGTGGATTGCTTGTGGATTATTGTGATGTTTTTATCAGCTGTTTGGACTCTCATTCTGACGGCACCCATTCACTGCAGAGGATCCACTGGTGAGCAAGTGATGCGATGCTACATTTCTCCAAATCTGATTAAGAAACAAACTCTCTATATCTTAGATGGCCTGAGGATTAGTACACCATCAGCAAATTTTAATGTTTGGGTAAACGTTTCAATTAAAACTGTCTCATATCCTGCATCAGCTGTGCCGTATTTAGATTTAGGGTTTCTATGCTATAACTTGTAACAGATGCTGGGTTGAATGCTCTCACCTGTCCATGTGGGTCAGGAATCCTAGCGCGAGTGTTCAGGTCATGGTAGGTGCTCTCCAAAGCTTCGTTCCGGTAGTAGATGAGGCGAGACGGGTATGTGAGTGTGCGCTCTGACTCCTGCGGCCCGCTGGCATTGTGCTTCTGTCCGGCTGCAGTATCATCCTTCTGTAGCAGCAATGACACTGCCTCCCCGGGGATCTCAGCCTCCAACACTGACAACACACATGCACACACACTCGCTTGATGAATGCCATCTAAACCAGGCCAATCTGACACTGAACCACAGAGAAACCTCAAATTAGACTGGTGTCAGGTGTACTGCATGCAGACTAGGCCTACAGTACGTGCGTCACAAGCTAACAATCGGTATAAGCTTGATATATTTAAACTATGAATAATATCATTGAAATGATAACAATGCCGTGCTTTCTCTCTTGCATCGGGCCCTATTAGTAAGTTATACCATTGAGGGATTTTAAAGCAGCACTATGTAACTTTTGGTGCTCTAGCGGTTAATAAACAGAACTGCGCACATCCCACGGAAGAACATTCCAACCGGAGCTACTTCTCTAAGTTTATGTCTATGGCGATTCACGCAGGTATGTGTTACTCCGCAGCGGTGATGACCCGACCAGGCTACAATAGTCCAAATATAAGTACTTATTATAAATGTACCGTAGTGATTCGGAATAAGACAAAACCGCGGTTCGGAAGATGAATTCATGATGTACTCGCTCATTATATACATTTTGCAAACTTTGAACACAGAAAAAGTTACATAGTGCTGCTTTAATTGGATCTCTCTCTACAAGATAACATTACTGGTTGTCAACATTCCCTAAAGAGAAATAAACCAGACTCAAATTAAATAGAGTTGTAAAATTATAGTAACACTTAAGGGATTTAGGGAACACTATTCACTATTAACTAGCTGCTTATTAACATGCATATTACTAGCATATTGACTGTTTATTAGTACTTATAAAGTACATAATGTATGCCCTATTCTGCATAACCATATTCTAGATTTCTTAACAATAGGCCTATACCTAAACTTAACTGCTACAACCTTACCTACTATCAATAAGCAGCAAAGTAGGAGTTTCTTGAGAGAAATCTCATAGTTAATAGTGAATATGTGTTCACTAATCTAAAGTGTTGCCAAAATTATTTGTTTAATTTTTAATTAATAATAATTCTTTGCATTCTTATATGATATTTACTCATATAGTATTACATTTACATGCAGTCAACACAGATGTTTTGCTTTTATCCAAAGTGAATTACAAATGAGGGCAACAGAAGCAATCATAACCAACAAAAGAGCAATAATATGTAAGTGTTGTGACAAGTCTCAGTTAGCCTAAATAAAAAGAAAACAAGCAGACAGAATAGAAAACGAATAGAGAACGCCAATGTTAGAGGGTCATTTTTTATAATAAATAAAAAAGAAAACAAGTAGAGAGAATAAAAAAGAATAGAGGATGTGTTAGAGGGTCATTTTTTTTAAATAAGAAGAAAATGAGTATATGAGTAATATATATTATTTAATATAATAAAGATATTCTTATATATAATAATTCCATCTGAGAAATAAAACTCAACAGACTAATACATTTTTAGTTCATATATATATATATATATATATATATATATATATATATATATGCGATATA